CAGCTCTTCGAATTGTCTCAATTTTCTCAGGACATGGTAACAGTCCACTATCTGTTAACACATGTCCCAAATAAGGCAGACTAGAAACAAAAAACTTGCATTTTTTTAAATGTACTTTTATGTTGAACTTAGACAAACGCTCTTAGACCAAAAAAAAAGCTTATTTTTACAGTCTTCAAAATCCTCACCAGCAATTAATACGTCGTCAAGGTAGCAAGAAACTCCAACTAAACCTTTTAGAACTTGATCCATCACTTTTTGAAAAATGGCAGCACTGCTTGATGCTCCCTGTGGTAGGCGATTGTACGAGTACAAACCTTTGATTGTGTTTATAATCATTATTTTTCTAGAATTTTCGGAAAGACGCAATTGGGTGTAAGCACCAGCGAGATCGAGAGAACAAAAAACCTTAGAACCGGACAAAGTAGCAAACAAGTCCTGAGCCAATGGAAGCGGATAGGTATTTGGTACAATTATTTTATTTATGGAGACCTTGCAATCAATCACCATTCTGATTCCTTGGTCCTTTTTTACGATAATTATGACAGGAGAAGCCCATTCACTTGCTTCAACGGGTGTGATAACACCATCCCGTTCTAAGCAATCAATATGCTCAACCACTTTGTCTTTCAAACGATAAGGGACATCATAGGCTCGTTTAAATACAGGTGTATTATCTTTGACAACCAAATCAGCCTCAAAGCCTTTGATAGGGGTTGAAAAATCATTATCAAAAACGCTATGGAACTTACTTTTTATGTCCTCTACGACGACCTCCTCCTCTGACATGCTTGTATAGTTCACAGATATCGGACGAAAAGCATCTCTCCAAGATGGGAAGAAAACATCCAGCCAGTCTCGTCCGAATAAAGGTGTGAAGACTTTCATGCTCTTCAGCACTACTAACGACACATCCTTGCACTGCCCGTTGATCCGTACGGTTACTCTGCATTGACCGACAACTTTCAGATGAGCTCCGTCAACGACAGCTAATTTTACAGGGCATTCGGACAGCTCGTAGACTCCGAACTTCCGCTCGTAGGTCTGTCTGCATACAACGGATACTGCGGAACCGCTGTCGATCTCCATTTGTAGTCTTTCGCCATCGACTATAGGATCAATCATACATGGTGCACTGGATCTTTGACTAGCAGACACCATGAGAACGTCCATCTCCTCTTCTGACTCCGATATCCTTGCTCTTCTCATTCTGTCGGCCAAATCCGGTTTATTCGCCTCAACAACAACAGTTTTAACAGACGGTTTCTGGTGCTTTAGATCATAGCAATACTTGCGGGTATGACCTTTCCTACGACAATAGGTACAGTAGTACGTTCTACCACCCGGCCTTCTGGATTCAGACCGACTCCTGCTGCGACTACGGCTATTGTTTTAGCGATGTCGAAAACCACGACTCCTGCCCCTTGATCCAGATGGAGTTGGAGTAGAGTCAAGGGAATCCAACCCTCTTCTTACCGATTCGATCAATAACACTGACCCTGGCTGGCTCTTCGTGAATAAGTGTAGCCCTCTCGGTCGCCTCTTCTCGGTTTACGATGATACGCTCCGTTTTGGCCAGAGTGAGGTCATCTTCATCCAGAAGTCGCTCCTGTAGTTGCTTGCTTGAGATACCACACAATAGCTTGTCTCGGACTGCCGTTTCTTTAAACGTCCCGAATTTACAATACTCTGCTAATTGCTTCGCTGCCAGAATAAAATCCACAGCTCGCTCGTTCGGTTTCTGCACCCTAGCATAGAATTTGATACGCTGAACTAAATCACTCTCACTTTTGTCGAAGCGTTTTCGCAACGCTTCTGTCAAATCCTTGTAATTGATATCCTTCAAATCCTGACCAGGATACAGCAACCTCAGTTCACTGTACACAGCAGTACCGCAAGATGCAAGATATGTTGTCTTCCTTTCAGCTGGATCAACTTTCTGGTGCAAATAAATCCATTCGAGCTGATCCAGGTATTGTGAAAACGTAATGCATCCATCTGGATGGAATGGCTCAATTGTGCTCACAACCGGCATTGTCGCTTTAATAGAATTCAGAAACAAAGACGCACAGATTTAATTCTTCTACCTTCTCAACAAATTGAACAAAGTAGTAGGTTATCTTGAAATTAACACTGTTTGAGAAAATAATTTAATCTCAACAAACAAAAATATTTAAACAATAAACAGAGTCCAATTAAAAAATATTTTCAATAAACATAAACTTATTTTTGGTTCGCAAAAAATTGAAGAAAAACACACATGTATTGCTCGAATAAAATATTCTCTTGATATAAAACAATTTTTAATGTACTAATTGCAACAATATTAAACCGAAAAATTAAAAAACGATAAAAAACATACCTGATTAGCCAGTAGGGTATCTGACTATATCCAACACAACAGATGACCTAGAACAACCTTACCAAACAATATCGTCTATTCAAAACACACAAACCACTTCTACCGCGTACTGCGCCCTAGGCCGGGTGGCGAGTTGAAATGCCCAAAACTATTGTGGACAAACCAAACTTACAAAATCAACGGTGACAATATAGCTTTCTCTCCGGTCAATCACACGAAGCCACGCGCTATGTGGACAAAGGATTTACTGATGCAACGATGGCGATCAGGTCGGAGATCTGCACTACAGTCACACACGTACAAAAATGTTCAATTCGTTGCACTAGCGATCAATTTAGTTTTAGCTGTTTTTTTTTTCGCAGAAATTCTGTAGCTAATAAATTTAAAACACTGTTTTCAACTTTTCACACCGCGTGTGCAAAGAAAACGCTGCAGTGAGGTGATGATTTACTTTTATTACCCAGCTGGTAAAGCTTCACCAAACTTGAGGTGAACGAACTGGGGTTTTCCACTTGCCAGGTACACTATAATGTTGGAAATTTACTTTCCACCCACTAGTAAAAAATAAAAATCACTGAGACACAAAACTAAACTTTTCTTGTTAAACTTATATAAAATAAATTCCACCTCGTTCGCCAGTTGTTATATCTGGGTAAATATGGGTATTAGGTTTTAGAGATTTTTCGGATGTAAGTACGAGGTATAACACCGATGTTATCGCTTGCACGCTCTGATAAAAACTGAGCTGAGTTTATTCTCGGATCGCTGATATAGTTTCAGCGGTACTCACGCACTCACGCATACAATAACCGATCATTACAATAAGCATAGATGTTAAAATTATGCATAAATAAGGGAGTTGATAATTTACTGTCACACGTAAGCTTGCCGCTGAAATGTTATTTTAATAAACTGTTTGAAAAATATTTTTTTTTCCTTTGGTTTGTTTTTTCCGTCGATCTTGTGTTCCGTGCTGAGCACCAATGCAGGAAGGCAGCTCCCACGCCTGGACCCTACCTATCGACCCATCAACTCATGAACCGGGGACCAACGGCTTTATTTCCCATCCGAAGGAAGGCGTGATCAGAGATGTTATGCCTCAGAACATCCCGGCGGCGAAAACTGGGATTGAACCCAGGCCTGCTGGGGTGAGAGGTAATCACGCTTACCTTTTGAAAAATAATGGGCTACAACATTTTTCCTATTCTCTATCTCCGCTGTTTGCAGAAATACACGACCGGCCGTGTGCTGGCTGTTTTGTTTTGCTCTGGACGATGGTTTTGCAAAAAATGTACTGTTGCCACCTCTGGTTTTAGGTTAGTTGTAGTTGTAAATAGTAGTTATAAGTAGTCTCCTTTTTTTAATTCAAATCAAACCAATCCCACAAAGGTGGTCATACTTTAAAATACGCCTGATAGGACTAAAAACTGTAAATAATAATTAAAATCTCAAATGTACTAAAGTTGAAAAGACGCATCTGTGTCACTTGAAAAATACATACATGTAAACCACACAAACACAAGAAATAAAGATCATTTAAAGTGCTTAAGTTAAGTTTGAATCCAACCGAGCATCCGTTCGCAGCAGCAGCAGCTGTAAAACGTTGTATCAAGAAGCAAAGAGTAATAAAACAGAAGTGTCTGGTGTACTCGGCAGCATTAGTCATTTTTACTCCATGTCCATTGGTGTCCCGGAGAGCAGCGTCAAACCCCCCAGCTCTTTTCAGAGCTCCTGAGTTTAGAACTTCGAACCTTTTCCTTGTCTCTACTGCTGCCACTGCTTGTAATTAGAGAGGTAGGCAGTGAATTTAGAAGATCCAAAATACCGGACATGCAACGAGTGAAACAGCCACTGACGACATTGAACAAATCAAGCTATCAAAATATGTGTAACGCACTGCTGATTTGTGTTAAGCTTTCATAAGGCTTGTTCAATCTTTGGATCAGCTAACTCATTGAGGTTGGATTATGGGGATACAATTCGCTTCATGTACTACTAATCAACTATATATTCAGCCTGCCAATAATCAGCTTCTGTTCTTATTGTTCAGCTTGAATTGTTACTTGGGTCGCCTTTGGTTAGTGTATTCGAAACAAAACATAGAAAATTAATACTTTATTTGAACATTTTGAACTCAAATTCGTATTTAAAATAATGAAACTTATGCCAGCATTTTTGAATGAGCTTTAACATAATTACCACCTGAAAACCATCAATCAAATCCCGTAACTTTCACGTGGACATATGGTACGCTTCATTCAATGTAGAGCGGATATATCCACGAACGATTCACGTAGTTCTTACGTGAAGAAAGGGATGGACGAAAGCTGCATATAGGGGAAATGGCTTTAATGTTGGCCTGTGGATCTATAGATTATAAAATTAGGCCCATCGCTAAAAATCTGCTATTATCAATTTTATCTAGATTAACACGTCATTATGGGACGCTACTAATTGATATTTTTGGACTCTATTGAAAATGTAATAAATTGCTGAATTTATGTATGGGCCCAAATTAGGGGCATTTAGGCCGACATTACATCCATTTCCCCTATATCATTATTTTTTTGATTTTCCTTAATTCCAACAATGAAGAACAAATATTGATCAATCTAATCCTGATAACTTTATTAGACAAAAATATAACGTTACACAACTCGAAATATTACCCCTACATCAACACGATTACTCCCAATCTTCCAGCGTCAAATCCTTCAATATGTCAACCTCATCCATGTCTGCGACCTTTTCCAGCGGGAAATCCGCTTCCGATTGCTTCGGTTTCTTCTGCTTCTTTTTCTTCTCCTTCCTCTCTTTACCATCGGCCTTCTTTACCTTCTTCTTCTCCTTCTTACTCTTCTGCTTGGGAACCTCGTCGTCTTCCTCCATCGAATCCAACTCCGGCCCATTGCCGGAATCATCTTCCTCGTCATCCGATGGGAACAGTTCCACTGGTCCTTCCCTCGGTGCAGTTTGCTTCCGGTCAATCTTTTTGATCGTCGGCAAATCAAAATCGCTGACATTCTCCGACTGCGTTGCCTGTCGCCGCTTGACCTTCTCATTCTCCCTGGCAAAGGTCTCATAGAATGTTAACAGCGGGGTACCCTTGGCTTTGCGGGTAGCCTCCCAGCTCTGAATATCGGCAAGGTCTTTCAATCGGAACGGAAGCATCTTGCGTTCCTTTTCGATGAATGCGGAATTTTCAACGACTTTGTCGCTGAGTTGCTTGATTTTCCGTGAATATTTGTACACTTTGCTAGACTTGCAGTAGGAACGAAAAACGGTGACTACGGGGACGATCAGATCCGGGAAGCAAATTGAGGCAGATTCGTGGGTGAGATATTCCAATGATAGCTCATAGATTTGATCCAGAACGGCGTCCTTGTAGGCATTCTCCTGTATATTAGCCGCAGCGAAACGAAGCAAACAGGTTAAATTAACCGGTTTCATGGAGAGTTTCTTATGCTCTTCGTTGAAGCTGGTGGAGTTGAGCACTTCGAATATGAACGGGAGCACTGGGATGAAAACTCTGGTCCGCGCGGAGAGGTCAATCAACATTCGGCAGCAGTGGAAACGGAGTGGGAAATATTGTGCTGAAGGGATCAACTTGATTACACCGGTGATGATGCTGACGAGTGGATATACCAGAGGTTCCAGTTGCTTCTTGTTGTATGACACGGCCAAGACGTCCGCCCACAGTTTCAACGAGTTGATATACTGCCAGTTGTAGATGTACTGGAAGCTGTCCTTTTTCTGCAAAATCACTGCATTACGCAAATGGATGGCTAGTTGACGAATGTACAGGAAGACGTGCTGATATGAAACAGTCATGTCCAAGGTGAACATTTCCGTGAGGGACCGTCTCATAAAGTTGATTCCCGGAAGGGTGTTAGGACTGACGAATTTGCTGTTTTTGACGTACGCCAGATACATATTCTTCAGCACATCGCTCAGGAATCGTCGCTGCTGACCACAAGTGATCTTCAGGATGCAAAGGAATGCCAACACTCGAACGGATTCCTCCTCTGAAATACTCCAGATGACGATCAGGCGCTTGAGGATCGGCTTCGTGATTGAAGAATAGCAAACCAAAAAGGAGCTGAATTGATGCAAATGCTTTAGCAACACATTCATAATATGATTGGAGGAAACATTCTCCAGAAGGTTGGTCAAATCTATAAAATACATCCGCAAGCAGGACTGAAGCTTAGCAAACTTTCTGTTTTTCTTAAGGGATTTGATTCCTTTCGATCCTTGCAAACCGAGATAACTCTTGACAGCATTGCCCAAGTGTAGCACGCAAAGTTGAACGACTCCGTTGAAAACAGCTGAACCTTCCGCTTTGAATGCAGGAATAACGTTAGTTTCCCCCGTTACGGTGACCAGAGCAGAGTTGAAAGCCTTGCAAACTGTTCGAATGGTGTCAACCTTCACGGGAGTGGCTGTCAGTTCCTCCGTCCATTTCTTAAGCATCTTCAAATTAATTTTCTTCTGCATTCCTGGCGTCGCAGTTTCCTCTCCTTCGTCTTCCCCTTCTTCCTCGTCCAAATCGCTCTCATCACTAGCAACTTCCAGTTTATCCGGCAATTCATGAAGTGCTCCTTCCCCGTCCTCATCTTCATCGTCGTCCTGCAAATCATCATCAGCTTTATCCTCCTCTTCGTCCTCGTTATCACTTCCCGTCAACGCACCAAACTTGAGCAGTTTCTTATCGTTCTTTCGCAGGAAGGCATATAACTCCGGATCCGTCTCCTTCAATTTGTCCAACGCTTGCTGATGTTCCTTAGCAACGTCATTCTGGGCAAAATCGACCTCAGCATCCGATCCTACATCTTCCGGTTGTTCCACCTTGCCCTTCTTGCTTTTTTTCTTCTTCTCCCCCTTAATTTTCTTTGCCTTCTTACCGGCGACCGTCGTTTCCAGCTGATTCTTTTTCAGTTGCTTAGGCTCCTTATCTAATTTGACTTTTTTCTTTTTCGGTGGAGCCAAATCCTCTGGTCCATCCTGGTCGCTGAGATCCGCATCTATGTTATCCAGAAAATTATCCAACGACATGTTCTGCAGATCGGCTTTCTTCTTGCTGCCCTTCGGTTTCATCGTGCTAGTTGCCTGGAAAGTGAAATAATTGCTGATTAACTACAGATTAGCGAAAATAATTTGACTTACTTGTTAATTCGCTTATTTCGAACAAAAATCAATTGGAAAAATCTAATAAATTAGCAAAAATGTGGAGAACTTAGCACTGGAAATGCTGTTTCTGAAACGCACGTGTTGTTGTCTGAAAATCGGAGTGCTGGCTGCTTCGAAACGATGCGGATTGTTTTGACAGCAGCAGATGAAACTTCAGTGTTGCCAGGATTTCCCACACTGCAGTGGAAACGGTTCAATTTTCAATCTAAAGTGCGGTACTAGAACTCATGGCCACGAGGGGTGAGTAAATAATTCTAGATAGATCTGGAATTAGGGCGTAAAAGCTTTTGTAAACAATGGCTTCACTCGATGATTTCTCAAAAGGCATGACTCTTCCTGGAAAATCGACATAACCATCGAATAGGGGAAGACTTACCCTACCCGAAGGATACGTTGGTTTGTGTAGGCGTGCCTTGAATTCCTAGAAATCAACAAGAGAAGTCATTGTTCTCAAAAAGCTGTTACGCCCTAATTCCAGCTCTATCTAGAATTGTCAATTAATCCATGGTGCACCAACAAACCGAAATGAAATTAAATTTTACCTTTATCCGAAAATACCTCGGAAAATAATGTACATGTTATTTCAAAACTACCCAAATTTTGGTAGAATCCACCCAGATCGGTTAAAACTGAACCTACCCAAAAATAGGTAAACTGTGTTTTTAGTGACAAGTTGACAAATGAACAACGTTGAACGGATTCATGTCGATGTTGTTAATTTGTCAACTTCCCTAATAAACTGTATCCCTGATGGGTAAACTATCCCACAAATGGTTTGGATGATGCCCCGAACAGGTTGTTAAGCTCTCTTTTTTGGTTTTTTTTTGGGGGTTGTCACTCCCAACACAGTTTACCCATTTTTGGGTAGGTTCAGTTTTGACCAATCTGGGTGGATTCTACCCAAGTTTGGGTAGTTTTGAAATAGCGTGTAGCCTCTGTGTACATCAGGCCAGTGACAAGGCCTATACCAACAGCAGCGTTTGACAGTAGGCAGCATGTCCCGGGCTCAAAATCATTTATTTTGCTGTGCTGGGCCCGCTGTCACCGTGTAACATGTTGCCTACGTGCCTGCCACTGGGCTGATGTATATAATGGAGATATAGCATACCCGGAAACAAAAGAACTGTAGAGTTACAATGAAATGTATTGTAACGATGCAATAAAGTTTATAGAGCTTAGTCGAGAGCTTAGTGACGTTTAATCTCGCGTTTAATACACGCACATTAGTGGGTGCATCGCCGTATAAAGTTGTTTATTATTTTCCTTTGGCTAACCTAAAAAATGTATGAAATAAGATTGGTCAAAATGAGTTTGACAACGATTTGTTATGTATTTCCCTCGGATTTTCACTAATACCATAGAGGTAACTCTAAGACCACTGGGTCCCGAAGAAAATCATTATTATTTTTGGCTCACTCAGTACCAGAACAACGGTCCCAAGCAGTCCCAAGCTATTTCACTCACCCCTGCATGTTCTGCATGAATCCACACACCCCTGATGTTATCTGTCAAACTTTCATAGCGAATCAAAACAAACATAGTGTAGTAATAGAATTTCAACTAGAATGGGGTACGCCATAGAAGTACTTGGGACCAATAGGCTACTCAAGCAGTGAATCAATTTAAAATCGTTAGTTTCGTATTGATTGTTGCTAATACGCTCTCACATATCACACCAATACAACTGGACGTGAAAATCTCTTTTGTATTTACAACGAGGGGCTGTCAACTTGAGTATTTTAGATTCATCTACCCGAGGTGTATTTAGTATTTTTTCGTATTTATGTATTTTTAAGTTTTGTATATTTTTGTATTAAAGTGTATTAAATTCATTATGAAATGTATTTTTCTTGTAAAAAGTATTTTCGAGGTATTTTTGAGCATTTTAGTTTCAGCGTGTACGCATTTACGCATTTTTTGTGTATTTTCCGAAGTGCATGTGTCAAAATGTGGTATTGATGTTGCCATAATATAATCAAATTATTTTCAAAACAACCGTGAATCTCCACCAAGTCTCGCCATGGATTCTCAAAATCGTTACACCCGTGACGGCAGTCGCATCCACATTTCCTCCCAGACGAAGAACAGATGACAGCGGTATCTTGACCTGCCTGAGGTTTCCGGCCATGGCTAAACGAACTAGGGATGCAGCTCTCACGGCTACGGCTGCTTACAAATCTGCTGCTCCGTCTTTTTTTTTTAATGAATTTTAGAGGAGACGGACCAGCAGAAGGAACAGCAGCAGCAGCAACTAAAGCAGAAGCAGCATAGGAAGCAGCCGCAGCCGTGGGAGCTGAATCGCTAATTCATGTAGCCGTGGCCGACGCTGGAAATCTCGGGCCGGACACGACAAGCGGTGCTTGAGTTTTAATCGGAAAGTCAACCAAACAAAAACTATACCATCCGACCATTCGAACTGCTCGAATACATCCATCGCCACCGCTACTACACCACCAGCACTTCATGATGGCGTTCACCGCCAGGGCTACGCTCGGGAACTCCACCAATCCGGAGGAGGAAATTTTCGATATCAGCATTCACACTTGCGACGGGTGGCAGTCCTTGATGGTGAATGCAATCAGCAGCAGATCCTCGGACGGCATACGGGTGGGGTATTGAAGAAGTGGAGAATGCGATTTTTGCTGGCCTGGGAAGTGATAGTTCTTGGAGGCGTTGTAGACCTTGAAGCTGATCGAATTGTGTGGAAGGGTGTACGTTCGACTGGTTCGACAGCGATGGCGTTCCCATCTAGACCATGGCGGCACCCTCTTTGGTCTTCAGGAACTTTATTCTGACAACATTTCCATACAGGAAGGACAGATTGAACTGCTTATCGGTGTTAGCTGTGTTGTTATCGAGTCCGTAGACCATCATCACTGCGCCCTATTGCCATAGAGGTAACTCTAAGACTAGTAGGTGGAAACGTGCTCAACTTTTTGGCTCAGCTCTGGTACTATCTTCGGTCCCAAGCAAATCGGTGCACCCCTCGAAACATAGGAAAATCCACGAACCCCTCATTTTATCTGTCAAACTTTCATAGCAAATCAAAACAAACATTGTGTAGTACTAGAATTTCAACTAGAATGGGGTACGTTAATCGATTTGCTTTGGACCAATAGGTTAGTCAAGTAGTGAGCCAATTTAAAATCGTTAGTTTCGTATTGATTGTTGCTATTGCTGTGCGGGTTGAATGAAGTTGACTGGTCCGTTTCGGGTCAGCGGTGCGTCCTTCATCAGTCCGACGTGTGTTCCGGCCGGTGTTGGTTTCCAGTTCTCCGACGGATGATACTGGCTCCCAGAAGGACTGGTTTACTAATGATTGACGTTCGTTGTGCGGGGTCGGCCTTCCACCGAAGATGGATGGTTTTGAAAACATTGAAAATCAAAACAAAAACAAGAGCTGTTAAAATACCGGGTTGCCAAACAAGGCTTTATTCACAAGTAAACAAAAGTCAGTTCAATTACTTCTTCTACTTCATGGCACTGCTGATACAGCTGCGGCACACTGAGGTACACTGAGAAAAATGTTGGCGCAAAGTAAGTGTGTAGTGTGACCACCCTTTGGCTGATTTACAAAGTTGATCGCCCCTCGATTTACAATAAATCGTATTCTCCACAACGATAAAATTACAATAAAATGTTTTGTTTCTACAATAGAATCTATGGTAAATGGAGGAATATACAATAGAACAAGGGGTCGTTATGTATCTTAACAATACGAAAAATCACTTTTTCTCTGACAAACTTGAGCCATTTACCATTAATTATATTGTTCTATTGATGCAAACTCTTACTATATGGGGCTATCAGCTATTGTAATAACAATATCTAGATAGAGCTGGAATTAGGGCGTAACAGCTTTTGTAAACAATGACTTCTCTCGATGATTTCTCGAAGCATGACTTCCCCTACCCAATGGATATCTTGGTTTGTGTAGGCGTGCCTTGAGTTGGTAGAAATCAACGAGAGAAGTCATTGTCTACAAAAGCTGTTATGCCCTAATTCCAGCTCTATCTAGATGTTAAAATTTCGTGTACTTATAAGCACAATAAGATCAATTCGAGGATCGATTGTTGGCAATAGATTTGCTTTTAATTGTATTTTATTTTATGGTAATTGTATCTAAGACCAGAAGGTCCCGAAGAAACGTGTTAAACTTTTTGGCTCAGCTCTGGTACTATCTTCGGTCCCAAGCTAATCAATGCACGCTTGGAAACATAGGAAAATCCACAAACCCCTCATTTTATCTGTCAAACTTTCATAGCGAATAAAATTAAACATAGTGTAGTACTAGAATTTCAACTAGAATGAGGTACGTTAATCGATTTGCTTGGGACCAATAGGCTAGTCAAGTAGTGAGCCAATTTAAAATCGTTAGTTTTGTTTTGATTGTTGGTATAAGCTATTTTACGTGACGTCTTGATGACAGTTTCTGGCGGGCCACTCGAACGCGCTCGAGGCATTGTTATTGTTTACGTCTGATGTTTTGGTTTTGATTTTGGTCGTGGTATGTAAAAAAATCGGCCCGCTGGTAAACGTCAAAATAGGTAAACAGAAAAAAAAACAGCTGACTCGAAACGTCTCGTAAAATGCCTTATAACCATAACACAGTAGAATAATTCTAGTACAGTGGCAATAAGTTAAAATTTGATTTTCAATTTTTTTACAGTGCTCTCCCAGAACAGCAGTGAACCGGTTCAAATTATTTGTTTACGTTTTGCCAGCAAGGACGGACGTCGGACGATAGCTACGAAAGATCGTAGTTTTGGTAGTTTTCGCTAAAACATTTTTATATTCAAAAATGTTGGTGATCAAACCACATCGTTTAGTAGCTCCATTGATATTAAGAATCAGGTAAATGTCACATCTTTATCGTCCCGTGATAGCTGTTTAATTGAAACTCCTGAATTCAGATATCTATCACAAGAGCCATCGGGGCACACTAATCCACATCACAATGTCGACCAACGGGAAGTGGACACTTTGGGTAAAATGGCCGAAGAATGGTGGAATCCAACTGGTCCTTTGAAAGGCCTCCACTCCATGAATTCCCTCAGAGTTCCTCTGATTCGCGATGGACTGATCGCTACGAGCCTGGTTCCGCAAGGTCAAATCAGATCTCCTCAGGTACTGAAAGGATTGGACATTCTGGAAGTGGGTTGCGGAGGTGGCATTCTAACGGAAGCGCTAGCGAGAATCCATGCCAACATGGTCGGAATTGATCCCGGTGAAAAGTTGATTAATGTTGCGAGAGAACACGCGGAGCGGGATCAGAAAATTTCGCCCAGGATTCAATACTTGGTGGAAACCGTTGAGGAACATGCTCAAAAAAATGTCGATCGATATGATGCGGTTGTGGCGTCGGAAGTGCTGGAACATGTCAACGACAAGGCAGCGTTCTTGGAGCATTGCGTAATGGCACTTAAACCGGGAGGTTCGATTTTCATTACGACGCTCAATAAGACGACCGCTTCCTGGCTGGGTGGGGTGGTCGCTGCGGAGTATGTCCTGAAACTGGTTCCGGAAAACACTCACGACTGGGAGAAATTTATTGCACCGTTGGATTTACAGCGTATGTTGAAGACGTTCAACTGTACTACCGTTTTGGTGCACGGGATGTCTTATGAATTCTGGAGGAATAGTTGGTCCTGGTGCAAGAGGATGGACATTAACTACGCTGTTCAGGCGGTGAAACTAGTCGATAATTAATTGTTTCTTGATTTATAAATGTAGATGTTTGTTATTATCTCTTAAATATAGACATATTTTACAAAATGATATCCAGTGTTTAATCATCATCCTCATCCCTAGGCTTTTCCATTCTTTTGATATTCAACGGCAATATACTTTGTTGCCGCTTGCCGCCCTTTTCGTACTTCTTCTTCACCGTCTTCATCACGCTGGTGTAGAACTTGGCCATCTCTTCGTCCGGTACGTCCATGCGCATTTTCTGTTTTTCGGCCGCTTCGGCTCGTTCCCGTTCGATCAGTTCGGCTAAATCTTTGTTCTTCTCCAGCTCAATGAGGCGTTCGATTTCCGGATTCATTCCACCGTAGCTGACTCGTCCTTCGATGAGGTCCTCGCATGGCACGTAGCTAGTTTCGATTATATACTTTGATGATTCGTGCAGCATTTTGTCGGTAAATTCGTTGCTGTACATTGCTCTGGGGGGTGGGGGATGTTACGATAGTTATCAGGTTTATCATTCATAGCCTAGCAGTTGATGCTACTTACCTACCTTCGGCGTCATCCTTTTCCTTCTCGAGTTTTTCTCGTGTCCGGGACATGAATTTCATTTCCAGGATGCCTTTCGACAGTTTCACCTTGTTCATTTTGCTGTTCATGTTGAAATAAGGCTGGCTAACATAAAATTTATGAATAATATATTAAATATATTTAAGATTTTTTTAAAGTATTCTGGCGTGGAGAGCGAAAATAATGTGCTGAATGCGAGGATTGACTGCATAAATATTTTGAAGATTTTGACGTTTCTATTTTGACATTTACTAGAAACGGTAAACCGGTTGAGCGAGGGGTAATCATATTGATGAGGTACTAGATCAAAATTTTCGGAATAAACCGGTTCACCTAGCCTTTTTTTATTGCATGATTAATTTAATTATACTCAAATATCGTTAAAACTTAATTTAATTAATTACTATCCCTAAAATGGGTATATATGTTACACCTTTTATGAGCATCTGTTACCACAGACAAACAGACGTAACCCTTCATTGTGTATCTTCGTTCATGCATTTACGGTTGATTTGAATATTATCAGTTCCGCGAACTACTCGCCGCAGCGCTGGCATCGGATCACTTTGACGTTTCTATATATTCTATAGAACTTTTATGCAATATTGTTTACGAGTTAGCGAGCAAGCTTGTTTTCCGCGAGAAGCCAGATAGATGTCGCTACTGAGGTTATATGTTTTGAGATACTATGTTTTCAAGAACAAGTTTTTCAAAGAGTTACGTCTGTTTGTCTGTGCTGTTACTCATATATGAATAACTTTTATAACTCAAACTCATACTCATTTAAACAGATCTAATTTCATACATTATTTAGGATAGCATAGGAAAAATAATATCCAACTTCACACGGCGATGTACCCGCTAGTATGCGTACGTTAAATGACACTAATCTCTATTCATTTTTGTACTAGGAATTACGCATAAATGCGTAATATTTTAGTCTTTTTACTGGTAGTCCTATTTTTTTTAAAAAATGTGAACTTTATAGTTATAAAAGAGTTTGTTTTTAGTTGCCGATTGACTCATAGATGGCGAGTGGTTAAAAATTGTTATGACGTTTTGATATCTGTCAAATTGCAGGAATTTATTTTTAGTTCATCATCATTTTTGTAATTGCGGATTTTAAAACTAGGCCAGTTTTGGATTTGCTTTGAATCGCCAATTAAATTGAGTAAATTGAAAGATATCTTGCTTGAATAAATTTTAATCATTAATGTATGATTCTACTTTAATCGTTTTTGGTCGAATTTTAATCTTTTTTGATTGAATTTTAATCATTTTTATTATATACTAGCTGAGTGTGCCCGGTCTTGCTCGGGATTCAATATTAGCTTGAGTTTATGCGCCGATTTAAAAAAAGCATGCTATATTGTACGTAGCCCCCCCCCCTATTATCTAAGGGGCTACCCCCTATGATTATCTCCTTATACCCCCACACTCGCCCCCACATGCCTAATTTGGTTCCATTTGCTTGATTAGTTCTCGAGTTAGGCAGAAATTTCTGTTTCATTTGTATGGGAGCCCCCCCCTTACAGAAGGGGGAGGGGTCTCAAACCTTCCACGGCCCCAAAAACCCCTGTATACAAATTTTCACGCCAATCGGTTCAGTAGTTTCCGAGTCTATAAGGGTCAGACAAACAGACAGACAGACAGACAGACAGACAGACAGACAAAAATTCATTTTTATATATATAGATAGATTAATATTCTCAAAGAATAAAAAAAAATACTGAAAAGATAAATTTTTATCACGAGTGATCATTTCGAATTTAATCATGCATGATTACTGCCGAAGTAATCGTGGCTTGGACTGAATAAGGTGAAGCGGGAATTTGCATACTTTTTAAGCATTTTTTTTAAATTTATTTTTGAGTGTATGATTGACATCGGTAAATACCCGGCACGTAAATACGGTTAGTAAAATTGGCGTCTTGCAGTGAAACTTTTCCAAGCTTTCGCCTCCTACATTTCGAAGTGAGAACTACTAGAAGGAGGATAGTTTCCAAATTTTCTAAGTAAAACAGACGATTTTTGGGGCAAACCGGTCCATAAAGAAAAACTATTAATTTTCCGTGGAAACTTTTGCTTGAATCGTGTAAGAAAACGTGTTTGCAAACTAACTGTTATTATTTCGGTATGGATCGGAGATGTTTTCATGGAAAATTATGCATAACAAGTTTGCACCCACAGGGAGAGGTTACCTCCTGCGCAGCTGCATTTTTCGGAAAATGGTGAATATGTGCGATTTCCACTAGGATGAAAGTGGAAATTAAGTGAATTTACTTAGGAAAGGTTGTATCATGCTGGTGGTAATGGAGATTTGGTTGTATAGGACGCCAATATTCAATAAATGTTCATTTTGGCCTTTTCTTAGCAAACATATTGATACTCACAATTTTTGACGGAAAACGCAACGGAACTTGCTTTACTCAAAACGCACCATACTATAAAATGGTGCTAGATGGTCTTCAAAGTGATAGCAAGGTGACAAATCATCTTTATTTTGAGTAATTGAGCAATTTACTTCTGTTTACATCTTATTTACGATGCAGCATCGTTGGAGCCGCGAAATGAAATGAATATATCTCATGAAAGTTCAACTGGAAAAGTCAAAGATGCACATCAGTCTGATCGTAAAAACGTTTTCTTCTTCAATTCGAATGTTATATTGGAAGAATTTTACACAGGCTTGATGAAAATTATGATTTAACGCTAATTTTCACGAATTTTATATGCAGTCTGTCAACATTATCATCATAATGCAGTGGCGACATCTGCGTTGAGCTTTTGCAGCAATCTTCCAATAGCAGCTGTCCATTCAAATTTTGGCTGCTTTGCCCTATCGGTTTTGTTTTTGTTGACTCACTCTCTCGACGTGACAGTTTGCAGCTGCATTTTCGCGGAGGCGAAGGTCATCAGAAATTCAAAAAAGTTTCACCTTTTTTTTATCAGTTTTTAAAGTTGGAATTGATTAATTTGTCACCCAATCGGACAGTGGCATGCAGTTTTAGATTTTATCGGTGGAGATGTTCAGTTTTGGCAAGAAACCCGCCGCTCCGAAGCGGGAAAGGAAACGCGATCCATCCGAGGTTTGTTTTCACTTGATTGCAGCAGCAGACAAAAGATTAGTCATCAGTTAGCATTTTGTATCCGTATTTTTCTTTTCTCGGTTATAGTATGGATTGTTCGGAATAGGTGACGCTGGCATCGGGGACGATAACGATAGTGACCTGGGTGACGATGGGGATAATGGCGATTTGGAAGCTGAGCTGGCGGCAATTGCTTCCGGATCCGGTGCTGGAAAAAAGCCGCGACCGAAACCTAAGGGAGGTGTTGTGGCACCGGAAGCTCTGGACGCGATGGTGGCCGCAAGTTTGAGAGACGTTGGCAGTGATGAGGAGCTTTCCGGAGATGATGATGACCCGGATTTATTGAGCGAACTTGCGGATATCGCCGGTGGAGATGTAGCTGAAGACGAACCGGATGTAGATAGAGCATCACCTCCAAAACGAGCGGCATCTAGCAGCTCTGGGGTGAAAGATCTGATTAAATCTAGAATCGAAATGTATACCACAGCGGAGGACAATGCAAAGAAAACGGGTGATGCTTCCAAAGCAAGAAGGTTCAATCGAGGATTGAAAACGTTGAAAGACTTGTTGAAGCAAGCAGAAGCCGGGAAGGCAGTGGATCCTAGCGATATTCCACCGGAAGTAAGTGTGAAGGGTGCCACTTCTGGACCTAATCCAGAACCACCAAAAGAAGAAAAATCGGCCGACATTCCCACAGTTCCTACAAGAAAAGCTCCAGCTCCTCCCCCTGCAGGTCCTGCACCGGTCTTCGAATCAACTACCATGGCTACAACGCCTGAATCAAAACCTTCACCTCCGGCCAATCCACAGCTAAGTCTACTAAACGATAGGAAGACCCAATATAAAACTGCTGCCTTAGAAGCGAAAAAGGCAGGAAACACAGAGAAAGCTATCCAATACATGAAGATAGTAAAACAATTCGACTCGGTGATTCAGGCGGTGGAAAATGGGCAAGAAGTTGATCTGAGTAGAATGCCACCCCCGCCAGGAGAACAAGACAAATCATCACCTGTGGCTGCCACCAGTCCACCGCCAGTGCCTCCTCGCGCAAGAAAAGAGGAAGACCATACCCAAAAGGAAGCCGAAGTGCCTGCCGTTGTTGTGACCAGCAGCGAACCAACGTCTCAAGAAGATTCCGAACAACCCGAAGAGGAAGAAGTGCTGATTCAAGCGTCCAGTATTTCGGAAGCGCTTCAGCAACGGTTGGAAAAGTATCAATCCGTAGAAAAGGCAGCCAAGGACGAAGGCAATGGATCGAAAGCGCGCCGGATTGGACGCATTGTGAAGCAGTACCAGGATGCAATCAAGTTACACAAAGCCGGCAAACCGATTCCGATAGATGAACTTCCGACCCCACCCGGCTATGCACCTATTCCGGTGGATGGACCGCCAAAGGTATCTCCCAAGCCGGCCCCATCGCCACGACCGGTTCCGAAGGCTTCGCCAGTGACGACTCCCGGGGGGTCTTCTGCTGCTGCTGACGTTCCTGGTAAGTGCTGGTTTTTGGTGGTTGGTTAAGAATTATTCGAGATGGTTGTTTCTTATTCTTGTCGTTGATGATTGAACGACTTTTCCCGGAAGTTGTATCCCCGAAACACGGTTCCCCGAATGAGTTAGTGCCCCGAATGGCACAATTCCTCAAAATCTTTTTCCCCGAAAGCACTAGTTCCCCGAAAAAGGATGTTCAGGATTTTCCAGGCGTTGTTTATAGGGAGGGCCGACCAATTTGTATTAGTAATTCTTAAACTTATAATTTGCAACAGGAGTGAATGAGATTGACCCAAAATGTAATTCTGCATGGATCATAAAAGTGAATATAAGCAGGCTAGTTTTTGCACCTTGTTGCTGGTGGGCGGGCTTAATTTCCTGCTTTATTGAACCACTGCATGAGAGAACCAAAGATCTAGTCTAGCAGTCCCCCTTATTCTGCGAGTCACGTGACTCTCTCTCACCGGTGAGGTGACAATTGTCACCTCGTGTGAGGTGACTCTCCATGCAAATCAAATGGAGAGTCACCTCACACGAGGTGACTATTGTCACCTCACCGGTGAGAGAGAGTCACGTGACTCGCAGAATAGGGGGGAGTGATAGTATCACACTTGTTACTCCTTTGTTTGAGAGCCGCGTCGTAGTACGCTTACGTATAGGCACTGACGTTGGTGCGATACTGGTGGGTTTTGCCGCAAATCACTCTTATTTTATTTATTTTTACGCAGATAGATTTATTTGGGTTTTGCAAGGGAATTATACTATTGAAATATTTCAGAAAGTGCCCAACAGTGCTCCTTCTATTTGCGTGACAAGTTTTCATTGTTGTTTTCATTGAGGTATTACTCAGGGAACAATGTTAAACACCATTTTGTACATGGTATTGTAACTAATCTTAAATGTGCTTCATTTTGATTTGGGATAAGTGTTTGAACTATGGCTCGGGATTTCCTCTGTGGCGTGCTTCTATTTTGACATACCTATACGTATTTTTGTGATGCGACATAGTGGAAGCGTGAGAGTATAATTGGATCATAATCCTATATATAAAGTGAAGCATTTTAGTCTCTTGAAGGTGTCACCTGGGTCGAACTAAGATATAATAAATAGGTATATTTCAGAATCAAAAGTAAACACGAAACACGTTTAACTTTAGATTACAATCACAAGTGCAGGTATTTAATAAAGCATGGGTTATAATTGATAAGGTGAATGAGATATTTCAATTATTTATTAAATTAGAGATGAACTAGCCTAAGGCTAAAAATCTCTTAAATAAAGAATTAAAAAAAAAAAAAAATATTTATTAAATTAGAGTATTGCGATATCATAATCATTAAATGAACTTAAATAAGACAAGCCAGAAAGTCTAATAACATTAAGTAGATTAAAAGCCGGCGCACAATAGATACGTTTGCAGGTTTTTTTTTGACAGTTAACCCATGCATTATCTGTAAAAAACCTGAAAACGTATGCATTGTGCGCCGGCCTTAACAAAAGAACAAGGATGCGGGGGGTCCGCTTAGGGAGGCAACTAACCTTTAAAGTTGTAGAATAAATCTTCCTATTTAGACTTGAATTTCAATAATAAAACGCAAGCAGACCAATAGCATTAAGCAGATTAACAAGGAGATGAATAGTTTAGGAAATAAGTAAAAGAAGAGGTATGTGATATTTGATAACTTTTAATCTTTTGTAGGTATTGTTTTTCCCTCAGTTTATTGTACTCGATAACTTTATTATTCTCTCAATACGCTAAATCTCTTATATATGCGGTTAAAGCATATGAGTTAACTTATTTCTTAATGTTCCAGTACTTACATTTGTTCATTTGTTTATTTATTTATTTATTTAAAAATTCAACTGACAATTATTGTCTAAATGAATAAAACTTAAACTATATAGTTACGGTCAACGGTACGGAAAAGGCCAAGTAGCCGATGACGAAACACATTGAAGTCGAACATATAAAAAAAGTTGTAGAATTGCCGGCTGATTGCTCGAATTGGCTCGTGTTGTGTATAATTCCGGCTCCGTGGTTCCAAAAACAGAAAGTCGCGTTGACGAAGATACCTCTCAGGGGCATACATATTTAGCTGTGACAGCAGTGTTGGACAGTCAATGTCACCTGTAAGCAGCTTTCCAGCGAACATAGCTTGAGCGACGGTCCGTCTCACCTCTAATGGCTCGATTCCCAGGAGACGGCAACGCTCCTCGTACGGTGGCAGGTTCGTTGGGTCACGTCAGTTGAGGAAACGAAGAGCATATCTCACAAACTTGCGTTCAACGGATTCAATTCTAGTGATCCAGCTAGCATGGAAAGGGCACCAAACAACTGAACTTGACTCCAATAAGGATCGCACAAGCGAGCAGTAGAGTGACCTGAGGCATAGCGGGTCACGAAACTCGCCGTCAATTTTGAAAATAAAGCCCAATTGTCGATTAGCTCTGGAGGTGATGTCATTGTAGTGGATTCTGAAAGTGAGTCTGCAGTCCAAGGTAACGCCGAGATCCTTTATGTGCTCTACACGAGCAAGACAGCGTCCATAGAGAACATAGTCAAACATGATTGGTTCGATTTTTCGGTGATAGGAAATAATGTTACATTTTTCTATGCTTAGACTCATCAAATTTCTTGAGCACCAGTCAGCAAATATACTTAACATATTCTGGAGATCCCAGCAGTCCGAGAGGCTTTTAAAAATTTTGTATATTTTCGTATCGTTTGCATAGAAAACGCGGCATCCTGATGGTATCAGCAAGGCGACGTCGTTTAAAAAGATCGAAAATAGTAGCGGTCCTAGGTTACTGCCTTCCCTAATAAAAATTGTATGGTTAATTTGCTTAACGACGTGTTCTGGGTATCATCCAAACCATTTGTGGAATAGTTCAATGATTTGGGTTACCGTTCGTTTATGGTTATTTTTTATTAGGGTTGCGGGACTCCCGAGTTGTTTGAGAAAACATCCGATTCCGACGCGCCAATCTTGACATGTACATAGCGATTCACCAAGTAAGATCTGAACCAATCCACAGCAGTTGACGAGAGGTACAGTATCTCCAGCTTGGCAAGCAAAATATTATGGTCCACCGTGTCAAATGCAGCTTTTAGATCCATATACGCAGGATCGACTTGCCATCCTGAATCCATGCATCGCAGACAGTTAGAAGTGAACTGCACCAGATTCGTGGACACGGAGCGCTTTGGGTAGAAACCGTTTTGTTCTGTATCGATATAATTTTTGCAGCGTGCGAACAGAGCACCATTTATGATAATCTCGAACAGTTTTGAGCAGGCTCACAGGGAGGTGATTCCACGATAATTTATGACATTCCGTTTATCTCCTTTTTTGTGCACTGGGAACAGATAAGAAAGTTTCCAGCTGCAGGGGAACTCACATTGCTGTGCCGAGATATTGAATAGCCTCGCAAGTGGAAGGCAGATATTGGCTACACAACGTTTTAGAACTGATGACGGAATGCCGTCAGGTCCGGCGGCGAACGAGAGTTTCAGTTTGCGTGTTGCGGCTATCACCATGTCTTCTGAAATGCGCGGAATAACGGAACTAAACACATCGTGTGGCATCCCAACAGTAGCGTCCAGCACTTGTGTTGGCGAAGCGGAGAAATCGTGGAACACTTGCTTGAAATGACGAGCAAACAAGTCGCATTTTTCTCTTCCACTATTAGCCGAGTCATTCCCGAGAAACGGATTCCTTCCGTTTGGAGTTGACAAACGACCAAAAACTTATCGGATTCGTGCGAAGGTTCGCTTCCGTGCGTCTCACGTGTCGATTATAGAGAAAACGATAGTAATTTCGATAACTACGACTCGCAAAATTGAACAGTCGTTTGTAGTACGGCGAGCGAGAGTTACAATACTTTCGGAGGGCGGCAGAGCGTTGACGTTTTTGCACGCGTAGGCGTGGGTTAGACCATGTAGGCTTTAGCGGAGGTCGTCGAGCTGGGACAATGCGGAAAATAGCATCTTCCAGTGCAGCACTGAAAAAATCCACTGCATCATTCACGCTAGCGGCAGTTTCGATAAATTGCCAATCAATTTCCGCAAGCGCATTGTTCAATGCGACATAATCGGCGAAAGTCCAAAGAGTAGCACTCAGATGACGGCGTAAAAAGAATCGGCGTAGGTAAACTAAATGACACGACGAGAGCGGGATGATCGGCATCTAGATCAATCAGTGGCTCGACCGGCAAGGAAACAGAAGTGCCCGGTGGTGCAGAATCATTTGCCAGGACAAGATCTAGCAAACGTCCATTTCGGTTCGGAAAAGTATTCACTTGTGTGAACCCGTAAAAGTTAAAACCGTCCAAAAGAGCACAGCAAGCAACCGACATATGCGAAAGCAGTGGATCAATTAATGGTGTGCCACTGTCTGTAAAGCGCCACTGCAGACCAGCTTGAATGTAGTCACCAAATATGAAAGCGGGAGAGCAGGGACTTAATTGTGACGAAATTGACCCTAACGATTCCACATGCTCACGGATGATCGTGCAGTCGTTTTTGCGGTCGGGAGGCAGGTAGATTGCGCCTACACTAAGCTTGCTTTGTGGAAGTTCTACGACAATCCACAGCTGTTTCAGTTGACTGGAAATGGGTGACGTACTTACGTAGCTGGCTAGTCTAGTAGATACTGCAATCAGGACTCCGCCACCGCGCGATTTTTGACTGTTTAGAGCAGACCGGTCAGTTCTGAAGACGGAATAGAGTGACCCGAAAAGTTGCGATGAGTAAATTCGGTCCTCCAGCCACTTTTCCGTCAGCACAATCAAATCATATTCGGCCTCCACAACAGCCAGGAAAAACGAGTCGATTTTAGTCCTCAGCCCACGCACGTTTTGGTAGTAGATCCGGAAACCATTCGAGGAGCAATCACGGGAACTAGAAATCGAAAGGACATCAGGTACCGAAAGCTCGGAATCGCTAACATACTCGCCTGAGGTTGCAGGCCGGAAGCCCCCGATACCATCACCGACCACAGG